TACTCCAGCATCAAAAGTTCTGAGAATTTAGCAGCATTCGCTCTCAAAGAGACGAAATATCAACAGAAGTACGAGAACGCAAAATTTGCAAAAACTTGCAACCTTCGAAACAGCTGATCACTTGCACAGTTGCCACTGGTGATTAATTTGGCAATTTATTTTCTGTTTGGTACATTTTCCCCCGATTTGGCATTTTATACAATTGAATAGTTTTCGATAAGAAAAATCTTTTTAAAATACAAATTAATTATATGAATAAGTTATTTTTCTCATAATTATTTGTGATATCACATGGTGACGCATTCAAAAACAAGAGTATCTCCTCCAAACACCCATCATTGATCCAAAAACAATGTAATAGATATAGCACAGATGTAGCTTTAAAATTATAAAATTTTCATTTCAACAATCAACCTACTAAAACCGAAAACTTCAGCAAAACATCATTTCAGCATGCTGCATTTGAATCTATTTTGGTATATTTAAAGGTAAATTATGGTACAAACGAAAAATGTCATACGGCAACCATGGTCAGCACACACTAAAGTAAACAAACTGGAGATTCATAGCAAATTAGCGAAAAATAAACACAACCACCGTTGTGCATATTAAATTTACTCACTTTTTCGTTGTATACTAGCATTAATAATAAAATTTGTAATAAATAACTCAAATAGGCCATATTTTCTTTTGTTTATTTACAAACATGTGTTTGTGATCAGCTGATTTTCTAACTTGCAAGTTTTAGCTGGGAAACATTTTTCCAGGAGAAATTTGCAGCTCTCTTTCACATTTTGCTCTCCCAATTTCCCCTACTTTGCAAGTTTTTTGGGTACGAGAACGCAAAACCAGTAAAAGTTTTCTAAAACTTTAGATAGTTGGGCGTACGAGTACACTCCTAATGTTAAGAAAAAGAGTGTTCACGCTAAGCAGTGTTCGAGAAAGGCAGTGTTGATATAATGAAGAGTGCAATTATAAGATAATGTTTCCACTTCTCTAAGTATTTTTTTTAAATGCTATACTATGTAGGTCTATTAAGAATATTTGTTTGTATTGAATGCTCGGAGCACGAGCCATTGTGCTTAAAGGAGTGGATTTTTTGATTATGTCACTTTATATAATGCGAATCTTTCTCAAATCTACCAAGTATGGAAAATTTCTGCCAATAACGGTGTTATTAAAAGGAAAATTTCCACAAACTCGGCGTAATATCATGCAGGACAAACTAAGATTAATTGAAAGATGGATCAATGAGAAAGACCTGGGTGTTAACCCAGACAAACTCGAACTGATGCTTTTTACCAGCTCCCTGCCATAGGCATCCGTAGTGGACTGTCACAGATTTCTAAAAGAGATGGCTGCGCAATCTGCTCTTCATTTGGTGTGGGTTCCGGGGTACCTGAATATACTGAATGAGAAAGCAGACGAAATTGCAACAGGTGGTACATACATCCGAAACCCGCATGATGGTTTGAGTAGAAGGTTTCTAACGATCCGCGTGGTAGCACTAAAGCCAGCGCATATTTAAGAGCAAATATTTTATCGAGCTTTATATGCATATTTTTTCCAGACCAGATGATAATGGAAATATGATTTCAACGCTAAGTTAAAAGCCATTCCTGTAGGACATGCTCTACTTCAGTAAAATCATTAAAATTTTAATTTTTCGCTAGAGATAAATGTTCATCACTGAGTACTTTTAAGCAAAGGACGAGAAAAAAGGTATGATCGAAACAAAACCTTCGAGAATGTTTTCACAAGAACGAAAGTGAGAACAAAACTGTTGAGAACGTTCTCAAAGGGGAATTATACAACAAAAAAACCCTTGGAAATGTTCCCAAGGTGAACATAGTACTTTTGGTAAGATTTTTAAGAGAAAAAAAGGAAAAAATGTCTCCGGAACGTTTTAGCAAAAAACAAAATGGGAACAAAAGTCGAATGAATATTTTCTCGTAGAACAAATAGGGAATTAAGGCCCCAGAAACGTTCTGACAGAGAACAAAACGGGAACAAATTTCCCTGAACTATTCGCGAACAGTGGAAGCGGTAGCAACATTTTTCTCATAGCGCTGCATTAGTTTGAAATATTTCAAGATTTAAATGAATCAAAAAAGAACGAAAGACTTAAGGCACGAACTTTTCTTGCACAGAAAATGAAACATTGTTCCATAAACGGACAGTTCACCCTAATTATAAATGATCTGAAAGTTGAAATGATCAACCTCTCATCTGGCTAAGAATTAACAATCACTGTTCTCACTGAAATGATTTTTCATGTCAACACGCAGACGCCCGCCTCACTCTCAACTTTAAGTTTGTGCTCGTTTTGTTCCCTAGCAGGATGTTCCCCAGACTTTTGTTCATATTTGATCTTAGTTGCAAATGTTCGCTCTCATTGGAAGCGTTCCCGAGAGATTCCTTCTCATTCGATTCTTCAGTTTTATTCTCATTTTGCTCTTTTTAAGAACATTCCCGAGAGTGTTGCTCGCATTTTGTTCTTTATAGAAAAGTTCCCCAAACTTTTCAAACTGCTCTCAATACTTTTGTTCCCGCTTGGTTCTTTTGCAGGAACGTACATATGTAAGTACTTATATGTACGTACAATACATTGGCTTTACATCGAACGTATGTACATATATATGTATGTGTTGTGCATATGTTATTTTAAAGCAAGGAATGGCTCGTGCTAAGTAAATGTGCAACTAAGATGTGAAAGGTATCGGTTTGACAAATCATATCTATTATGCACATACCACATACATACATACTTCATAGGTGAAACAGGATCAAGCAACAGCTAGAAAAAGGCGGCACACGCCACAACTGAAATTTCTTAACATAGCGATAACAGCTGTTGTAAAAATAATAAAAACATCGAAGGCAACTATAACCAGTCCGGGTGGAAGATCGACCTGCATGACGAAAGCAATGACAATACATACATTGGAGCAACGGACTCTTGAAGCAGCCGCAGCAGTAGCAGTAAGGACATTGCTATTGGCAATGCGCAGCTGTCAGCTGTTTGGAGTTTATTCGCCCTCATCAGGTTTTATAAGTTTGCTTCCTCTGCGAGTTGCAGCGAGAACAAAAGAATATGGAGTGTCTCAACAAATACATATGTACATGTACTGAAACGACAGGAAATGCCCACAATAATGCCTGGGTGTGGGATAGCGTTGCCAGACTTGTTTTTTTTTTTTTTTTTGAAAAATCAGTACATCGCATTTTTTTGATGCATCAAAATCAGTATTTTTACTACACTTGTATTTAAGTTTACTCAATGGTTATGAATCCGCGCCTACCTGCCATATAACGCATAATACCGAATTTATAAACAAACTCAAAAACTACTATTTGCCCGAACGTTTTTTTTTTTTGTATGGGAAGAAACAACAATTTATAAAGCTGGATGTTAACGGCCGCTGTAGTCGAGTGGATAGAGATGCGTATTTCACTACGTAGCACCAAAGTTTCATCCCATCGTTCCATCAGAACGTCCAAAAAGGGAAGGAGAAATAACTTTTTTTTACTTAATAATAATAATAATAGATTGGCACTTACACATATTTTAGTGTTTGGCCGAGCTTCTCCTCCGATTTGTGGCGTGCGCCTTGATGTTGTCACACAGAGCGGAGGGACCTACAGTTTTACGCCGACTCCGAACGGCGATTGTATTTTTATGAGAAGCTGTTTTTCATTGCAGAAATACACTCGGTGGTTTGCCATTGCCTGCCGAGGGACGACCGCTGTTAAGAAAATACCTTTTTTGGGTTTGAACCCAGGCTTACTTATGACTCTTAAAATAAGTTGGTTTGGTCCAATACCCAGCCGACTGCTGTACAGCGTTATTAGGTACAAGTTTATAATAAACCCAAGGATATATTGTAATTTTTAGTGCCAGGAAAAACTCAAAATTAATTAAATTTATATCTAAAACTTTAAAGTATGTATTAAAAAAAGTAAGCAAAGTTAAAAGTAAAAAATTCATTTACAATAGATTAAAAATTAAATTGTTCTTTTAATTTACTTGAAGCAAGCTAGTTCTTGGAGCCATTTGCCTACTTAGCACACCAGATATTCCCTTGAGTTCCTTAAACCCCTTATTTTTTGTTCCCAAGTTCACCCTGCACACCTTGAATAGTAGTAATAGCAGTCTCCACAAGATGTACTTGTTCAGCTAATGATTCTGGTCCTTCCAATTTAGTTATTATTTCCGACAAGAAGCTGTAATTTGCATTGATATAGGCTAAATGTGATTCAATCGCTTAGATCTTTAAGAAAGGTTTGAAATTCCTTAAAATGTAGGCAATAATATTTTTCCGGCTCTAACCAGGTTCCCCATCTCGTTAATAGTGGCTCTGGGGAAAGAGCGATATTGGGATACATGTTCTAAACTTCAACCCGCAAATCAGATTTTAAAAATATTTTTTCCCATTCGATGTTACATCGTCAACATCATTGAAGCGAGCTCTTACATCTTCGGCCACTCGGTGCATTGCGTCCCAAACAAGTAACGTGCAGTCACTTTGGGTAAAATACCATCAGCGCCTTTGCTGATTTTACCATATCGAGTCCTAACCGCCGCGACATATTTTGAAAAAAACTTTCTTTTTGATGCAGAAATGCCACTAGAGCAAAAAGAAAATTTTGAAAAAAAAAATTCTGCCTGCGTTTTTTGGCGGTTAGGGCTCGATATATGGAGCTGCGTCAGTGACATATAAAATAATCTTCGACTTTCCGAAATCAGTATCCAATAGTTGCATGGAATCATCAAATGCTCTTGCGATTGTGGAGTGATTCGTCCGTTCTAGACAAACGGCGTTTAATAAAAAATGCAATTAAATATGCATTTCTGACAAAATATGCCTATATATGCATTTAAGGCAATATAAAATATATATATGTATTTAAATGCATAAAACTCCGGGCCCTACAAATAAGTATTTAATTATATGTGTACATATTGATGTAAAATTTACATATATAGCATCGGTACTTACGTTTTGAGGTAGTCCAACTTTTGTTGTTGCACTTTGAGATAACCCTCTAAATTGGTTATTAATACCGATTCAGTCTCAAGAAGTTCCTCCATCTCTGCCAACGCCGTATACACCTCGGAATTGGTACAACCAATGGCCAGTGAACATATTAGGAAACATATTGGCAAAAGTTTCGAAATTTGTGTAATCGCTGAGCCTTGCCTCCGTTCAAACATTTCAATAGAAAAGGTGTAGGGATTTACCTATAGGAGGTTTTGGTTTGTGCTGCAATTAAAGGAAATTTAATTTGATCAATTTAAATTATTTAGTGAGCATAAAGGTTATAGAAATATTTTGTGAGGCAATAAAATCGAGTTTTCTAATTTCTAACTAAAAGTTCTTCTTTCGACTCTTTTGTTTGACATACATATATACATATGTATATACATTTACCGGCTTTTTTTATAAAAAAAAAAAACATTAATTCATGAATGCAATTTCTCCACCATTGATCAAATATTTTTGTATCATAAAAAAGTGATTCAAGTGTGAAAAAATTTGCAAAAAGAACTAAACTGGATTCTTAACTTAATTTCTTTAATTTATTTAACACACAGATGTATGTACATATATTCACTCGCACCAAAGTCGAAAAGCATAGAAAATATACTTATTTTTGCACTAATAAATAAATAAACAAGATTTGTTTTAATTCTATCAAGCAGTATTAATTTAAAAATACTGTTATAATAAAGTACATATGTATGTACATATTAGACATCTGCACGAATCCATTCCAAACGGCAAATGAATCATTCATATAATATGAATCATATTTAACATCTCTTCTAGCGCTAATACTTTTTCCTTTCCATACATTATAAACAATCTTCAAAAAAGCGACTGCTAGTGTAGAATAAGGTAGGTATCACGAAAAACAAAACATTTAATAACTTAGCTTAGCAAATTTTTCATCAGTAAAAAGAGTCTAAGGGCAAATGCATGTATGTCCATAAATGCAAATGCAAATAGTGAATAATAGAATAAATCAAAACAGTTCAAAATCCAAGGCATATAACAGGTAGTAGCTGCGGAGGAGCGAATTTGATTTGTTTCGTTTATTTATACTATGTCTCCATTGTGAGATTTACTGCTACTACTACGGTATTTACTTACACCGGGAGAAAACTCCTGGGAATATTGTACATATGTACTATATCGTCACTACACACAAATAAAGGCGTGCTAGTGTTTTGACGGCGAAAAAAGGCGCGTAAAAAAATGTTACGAAAAAAGATGCTCATGAAAAACTTCGGCGAAGTATGTTAAGAGTCTTTGACGCTGCAGTTTTTTTATGCGTCTTTTTTCGCCGTCAACTTCTGAGCTGGCGCCTTTATTCGTGTCTAGTGACGATATCTTTTCGATTTCAAAATCTACAACTCTGTAATTTCAAGCAAACGTAAATACGTAAAAAAAATTAAAGGTGAAGTTGTGTACCATATCGTACCTAGTTCTAATTATTATATTTTCTACTGAAAAATGTAACCTTCGCTCATCGTACAAATACTAAGGGGAGATAAGAAAACGATAGCAGTTTGACGGCCCCATTCAAAGCTGAGTTATGATGAAGTTAGGCGACCATACTTATAGCTATGACAATTTCCTGGAAATATTGCAGTATTCTAAGCGTCTATAAGCCTTTCTTATAGACAGTTATTGAGAGAAGACGTCCAATTGCCATTTGTTCACAGTCTATCAGAGGTCTCAAATCTCAGAGCGCTCTTAGTATTTACTAGAGATTTTAGTATTTTACTTACCAACGAAATGAACTTCCCTACGACCAGGATAATTAAGTCCCCTGCATAAGCAAAAATTCCCCGGATATTTATAGGTTGGAAACGATCTGTAATTGATCGCGGTCGCTGACATGCGCTATTTTTCTAAACAGTCGTTCGTTTGATACCCAGCTTTTAAAGTTGCATAAAATTTGCGGCCATACTAGTAAATTAATATAGTTCAGAAATAAAAGGTTTCAAACCGATTTCGACTGATAACCTGAAACACATCAACAATATTGTAAATTGTCAAACTAATTTCCTTGCCCAACCATTTTTAAATTTCATTCCACTTGCGTATACAGTAACTTTCAAAACAAAACAATAGAAGAATTTTCATTATTTCAATTTTGTATACTTCAGACAGTCCGACACATGAAAATTTTCTCCGAGATAAGGCTCCAGTTTCTAATAGATTTTGGGTCGTTAAATTTGTTGAAATGTAGACCTTTATGTGCATATATTTGAATTTTAAGAAAATAAGGCAAAGAGCGAAATCGGCTAAAACGGCTAACTTTCTTTTCTCTCGCTGTTTTCTATCGCAACCAGCTAAATCTACCTGGAAAATGACTAAACTGGCCACACTGGGCAGAAGTACCCTCGGATCGCTGCCATTGTCTGCCGAGGGGCAACAGCTGCAAGAATAAACTTCTGTTGATGGATGCTGGATCCAAAAATTTAACCAGGGATCTCTCGAGCTGCAGTAGGCATCTCTAAGCCCTCACAAAGTATTAAAAAAGGACCATACGTAAATTTTTCACTGATTTTTGTTTGTTTTAATGTTGATATAGAAAAACTTTGTACTTATTTTGCTTTGCTCTTTTCTTAATATAACAGTGAAAAGTTAATGGTTTTTTTTCTAATTTTTGGTCATGACTTTATACGAAGATACCCATTTTCACGGTAGAAGAACTATGTAAAATAAAACCGGTATACTTTTCTTTATTTCAAAATCGGCAACCGGTTTTTTCAAATTGTAATTTTTCGAATAACTCGACAACCGGTTTTGGAAAAAAGGCGAATAATCGAATGCCGAATATGTAAAACCGCAACACCTAACAAATTCAATTGAAAATCATTGATTAAACTACATATCTACTTTGAAAAAATCTGCGACTTTTTATATTATATTTACTATTGGATGAAATTAGCTGACTTACTGAGATTCATTTCCAATTCTCATTCCTCATTATTATTATTTTTCTACACGTGTATGATTGACTAGTTGATCCTAATGTCGTTTATGAGCTCCGTTAATGTTTCGTAACAGCTTAAATTTTTGTTAATGCGATGCTATTAATTTTAATCATTGAAAACATCAATAAAGTCGTAAACTATAGTTAAATAAATGAATAGCTCTTTATTCTGGGCTTTCAAGGCGGCTTTCATTTCAAAGCCAATAAATTGTATTGTTGTTATTTCGCTGACAAGTGAATGGGTCGATGGGATCGTTTTTTTTTTTTTTTGTAGAAGCAATTCTTCTTAGTGAAGTAGTAAAAGGAAGATGTAAGCAATACAGAACAAGGAAAATCTCACTGATTTATGCATGCATATCCATATACCATTTGAAAAAATAAAAGAAATCAAGTCAATGAACTCGAGGTAGTGTTAATTATCTGCTTCTTTAATCAAATATATGTATATATTTAATGATCACTTCTTTCTCATATTGTCGAACTTTTTAATTTAATTTTAAATGTTTCTAAATGTCTTAATGCCTGAAATAAAATCTATTCACCATCACCGCTCTTATTTGAAAGATCACTAGATGAAGATTGGTTAGTAATGAGTTCTTCAGTTAACTAAATTGAAATTGAAGTAGGCAGAAACAAGTTTATTTGCTTTTGCAAGAAAATTTAAAAAGCATTATCTTGAATGAGGCCTGCACGTTTAAAACGACAATGGGATAGAATCGGTATAATTCGATGTTAATGAACAGTTTCTGTCTTTCTTCGGGCTTATCGAATTTTCTCTGCCTTTTTTGACTTGGTAAAACGCTTAACTGAAAGTAGACCGATTTTTTCGAATGCCATGCTTTTAATTTTGCTCGCGTTCTAATAAATGGTATATACGAGTAGATACAAAAAATTATCATCTACACATGCAAATACATATCGTGTAAGAGGACTGTTAGCAGCTTTTCCCTCGAAACTAATGATACGATGCATATGTACATGCAGATGCACATACATATGTACATTAGGGCGATTTTTATTGCGACTATTGTTTTTTTTCACTCCTACTTCGAAATTTTGTAGAAAACACACGTAAACTTACAGTTTTTTCTTAAAAAGTCTACAGCTCAGAGGCATTTTATGGTATAATCTTGGTCAATGGTTGGTTTTCTTCAAAAGTGTTCATTGCGGTGTAATCCCAACTCCCACCAGCGAGGAAGTGCGGGTCACTAGACCCAATTTTTCCATGAAATTCTCGTTTTTTGCCTCTATCTCGAAAATAAGAAGAGCTACAGAATAAATATAAATAAAACACTTGTAGGACTTTCGATTTCATACAAAAAAAGTTTGAGAACACAAAATCGCTAACATCGATATTTCTTGAGGAGGTATTGGGCTTTAAAGTTGAGGTATTGTGGAATTTTCATGGACTATTAAGCTAAATCGTAGAAATTGTTGATCAACTTCAAAGTCCAATATCTAAAGAAATGTGGATATTAGCGATTTGGTGGTGGGATTTTTTTTTTTTTTAGGAAATTAAATGTTCTCTAATTTTTGTATTCATATTTTTTCTCTAGATCTTGTTATTTTCGAGATAGGGGCAAACAAACGAGAATTTCATGAAAAAACTAGTTTTAGTGACACAATAGGGTCCATCACCAAAAACAACGTTGCGCCTTTTCTGCCGGAATTAAAAATTTATTACATTTTAAGAGCCAATATATTTTGGAAAAAAATAAGATTTACGGAGACCGATTTGAAAATACCTACAAAAGTCTTATTATTTTGATTCCGTTGACAAATTTTTAAACATTTTTTTGAAGATGTTTTAAGCTTAAACTCTTCTATCAACTGGTTTGATTTTTTATAAAAAAATACTTTTTTAAGCTAATTTTATTTATAAAAAATAGTTTTTTGGAGGTATTTTCAAATAGGACCAATTCACGTAAATCTTAATATTTTTCCGAAATATTTTCCCATTTAAAATAAAATAAATTTTATTTTTCCGATTAAAAAACATTAGCACATGAAGAGTGGCACAGTAGTAGACTTATCCACCCTAATGTCCAGTACTTTCAACTGGGAAAGAGAGAAAACCAATTGACACCGTTTCTAAAAGTCTAAAAGATCGTAGCATGGGCGTCCAAGTTCAATAGTCACTAAACATAAACAGTTAGGTGCACACAAACTGTATAGTGGAGTGAATGACCTCAAAATAACCTACTTTGACTTTTATTTTTAACTGGCCAACCAGTCAAGCGGTCAGCATAAGCCG